AATTCTCAGAAAATATTTTCTAATTTTATTATATTACCACCTTTTCATTACATAGATCTTTTTCAAAACATAGGCCAAACTGCTTTTATAACATTATTATAGACCCATTAAACACAAAAACCCCACCGTGGCCCCAGGCACCTGAACCCCACCGGGGGTGGCGCCAGCGGGGCGGGGGAGGGCCCCGTCCGGGAGAAAAAGCACAATTCGTCGGGGAGAAAAAAATTATATGTATTTTCTACATATTAGTAGACTCTAAAATCGATTAAATAAGCCTTTTAAGCCCCTAAATTGTCAAAATTTTCGGGGGCTTCGCCCCTGGACCATTTTCGAAGCCTTTTAATCGAAGTTCGACCACGCCCACTTTGCTTTCGTCGTGGCAAATCCTGGCGCCACCCCTGTCATTTATATAATGAAAAATGAAGTTGAAATTGCCAAAAAAAAAAGTTGTTGAAAAGTATAAAGCAAAAAAAAAAACCCCGGAAACCCAAAATACTTATAGTACTAAACAAATAAATGAAGTTAAAAAATGAAACCAAGTTCACAACTACAACGCGAGTTAATGAGTTTCGAAATACTCATGTAATTGTAATAGCTAGGTACGTAGGCCTACTTTGAAACTCAATATTACGCGGTGTTATGAGCCGACCTGTATAAGCCAGTGCATTTTCCGTTCATAGCGATTCAGTGACTGAAAGCAAAAATTGTTCATGCATATCACGGAGTTTTGAGGTTTAACCTAGCTGCAACTGGTTTAAGCGCTTTAGAAAACGCAAATTGCGTTTATATATTAATCAACTGTCTAAACAATCTATAAATTGTCCCCATATCCACACCCTACTGCAGATCGTCCCCAAAATGTGATCGTTTCTTCATTTGACCATGGAAAACTATGCTGCAAAGTTCCTTTTTCATCCATTTATAACTGTGACGCAAGCAACTGCTGGGAAAAGCCAATAATAATAATAATAATAATAATAATAATAATAATAATAATAATAATAATAATAATAATAATAATAACAATAACAACAACAATAATAATAACAATGATAATAACAATAACAATAATGATAATGATAATAATAATAATATTAATAATAATAATAATAATAATAATAATAATAATAATAATAATAATAATAATAATAATAATAATAATAATAATAATAATAATAATAATAATTTTGGCTTATACAGTATAACGCATTAAGCTAAAGCCTTAATGCGCTTAACAATAAAAATGAAAATAATAGTTTCATAAAATGAATAACGTTACAATTAATGTTAGTAGACATATTACTAAACCCAATATTTAAGTATCGGTTTCAATATATGTTTTTGATATGTACAGTATTACCTTAAATTTCTATACATCTATAGATTATGTTTATATAATAAATATATTTTATTTATGACTTTACATTCAAGTCCCTTGTTACGTGTGCTATACCTCAGTTTTAAAAATATGTAACAACATAATAATATGTTATTGATACTGTACTACCGTGCAATTTAAGAAACACTGACACCTTGATGTAAATATATAAATCGTAAATAACCAAAATCAATGGTGAGAGATAATCTAATTAAAACAATGTAAAATTCCATAATACCAAATTCTGTCTTTGTTTTTCTATTCATTTCGATAAATTACTTTACTGTAATGTCGTTTAGGGTCACCGTTCAGGCCCGTTTTAATCTGACATCCAGCATCATCAAGATGAAATCCACGGCACTCCTTCTGTCGCAGACATCGTAGGGCGCATCTTATATACGAAGCATTCGTAATGACTCCACGAGGCTCCGTAGACTGGAAATACAGACTATCTATAAAATCCAAAAATGAAAAAAAAAAACATATTTCTGATTTATTTGTGTTTTTCACACACCTACACTAGGCCTACACAACCCACGCAGTTAAATGGTATAGTAGTACTAGTAGTAGTAGTAGAAGTAGTACAGCTTTATTTATTCACGAAAACAGAACCCAATAGTTTACATGCTGTTTTCATCATGGTCGTGAAAGAAAAGAAAATATAAAGCAAATTTACAAAACATACAATATAAAGTAAAAGCTTAATACAATGTAACAAAATAATGAAATTTATATTATACAAAATAATTTATATTAACATTATTATGTTATTTTACTCTAAACAGAAATAAGGTACATTATGATTATTGTTATTGTTATTATTAGTAGGCCCTATTATTGTTATTGATATTGTTATTGTAATTGTTATTGTTATCATTGTTCAATAAATGCAAAAAATAAATAAATAAATAAAATGGAGAGCGAGAATCACTATACATAAATATGTTATACCTGATTAAAATACAATCAAACATCATGTCTTTGTAGAGTTAAGCTTAATTCCTATACAATCGCTCAACTTATCGGCGACAGTCGGAAGGTTGAACCTGAACTTTGCGGATCACGTTGCAGACGAATCAGGGTGCATTGTTAGTTGCCCCTACGCAATCGGCAAGGTACCCCGACTCGTCTGAAACGCAATCGGCAAAGTTGTACAAGGTGCAACCTTATCCCGACAACTGTGCTGTCGGCGACTGTCGCCGATAGGGTGACCGATTATATGGAAACCGAGCTTGAAATGACTTCTATTTAAAATGTGTGATTCTATGTTTACTAATATTCAGTAACCACCAATCAACTTGTAGGTAACTGATTAATATTAATAAGCAATTAGTAGAGCTCTGCATAGTACACTATAGGAAAATTATTATACGAAGGTTAGATTTAATGCTTGAAAATTGTTCGGGCTTCAAGGCCCGAAGGAAATTTTTTAATGCGTTAAATCTAACCTAAGTACCGTATAATACTTTTTCGCTAGTGTACGATGCATGCTTTACTAATTGCTTTATAAGTCAATCGCCGTATTTTACATCAATAAAGTACAGCTCAGTACTGTAACCAACGTTTTGGTCGGTGCAGACAGGTAAAAATCTTGGGATGATTTCATAACTACGTTTGTGACCTATGTCTAGGATAGTAGTAGGATGGGGCCTCGTCGGCTCTACATCTAATTTCGTCCCTTGAGTCTTTAAAAGAGTGATGGCGCTAGGACCTGCCCGACAGAGGGGCTAAAGGCCCCGACGGGGGGCTAGTGGAGCGAATCGATTTTCACTTGGGTGGGGGCCAGGGGGCCGTCTAGGGCCCCCGGTGGGAGCCACGGATATTTGATGAATTATGGCGAATTTTTATTACTTATTTGATAGGCATCGAGTTCTATAATATGACTTCATGTAGGCTATGCTTTCTAATGTTGAAATCAGCTTCCAAACCAAAACATTTTGAATGAAACAAGAAACAAAGAATATGCAATGTAACCATTTAATTAAGTGAAATTCTATGTTTTGGAAATTTTGCATGAAGTCTGTTAACCACGCTTTCATGGTCGAGGTTGCCTCACCTATTACGATATATTCCAACCATCATGAGGCTATCTAAATGAGCATTTGTCATAACAGAACGCAAATTATTTTTAATTAGTCTCATTGAATTATTATTATTATTATTATTATTATTATTATTATTATTATTATTATTATTATTATTATTATCATTATTATTATTATTATTATTATTATTATTATTATTATTATTATTATTATTGTTATTGTTATTGTTGTTGTGATGAAATGTTAACACAAACAATATGGTGGCTCAACGAATATTACATGTAAATAATTTTTTTTATTTGACAAAATGTATCGTCTTCCCCGACGGGGGACTAATGTTTTCCCGACGAGGTGGGGGGCTATAGCCCCAGCCGCCGCCCCACTCTGGCGCCACCACTGCTTTAAAATAGGTCTAGAATATTCCTATTAAACGTTCAGTTTGTTTAGATTATTAGGGTTCATTGATTAAAGGAATTGCTTAATTGTTCATACTTAATATTGAATTTAAAGTAAATTTCTTCGGGTTCTAATTAACCTTGATTTTTATTAATTCAATTTTTATCGCGGTGCACGATGTATTCGCGGTGACGAAAAAATGAGGATTTTTTTTGCACTCGAACCTAAAAAAATCAAGCCAAGCGTCCACTAATTGAAAAATTAGTGGACGGTGGGGGAATAGGCAAATAACATTGAGAGTTGCAGTGATGACGTCACGATTGACTTATAATGTAAATTAAATGATAAATAATATATAATTTGATTCACAACACGTACCAAATTCACAAATATATCCTTTCGTGTTCTTATTTTTAATGGGGTTGTTAGCTCTCATATCCAAGATCTTACTAGTTTTGATGTCGATCCTAACCCCTGCCTGTAAAGTGTTGTTTATGTTTGGCTGGTTTGAATCCCATTGAATATTAGCATAAAAATCCTCTCCTGTTTCCCACTTCCAGTTTGCAGGTAGGCTTATATCCTGAGACAAATTCGCCTGGCGTGATAGGCCGATCGCGTATCTACCGTCTGTGTAGTTCATCCTCATGTATCCGAGGACGGCAGCTACTTCATCAGTGGTTGTGATGCTTGCAAGATACCCGCGCGAAGATTCACAGATATACTTTGCATCCAACCAAGATTGATTTTGTTCATGGTCGATTAGGCCCACAGTATACTGCGACCACTGATATTGGAAATTAGGGCAACCTTAATGAGATTATTGAAGACAATAATAACCATCAAATATTCAATTACATATTATTATATATTCACACACACACAAATTAATAAGAAATTTTTCGTTGATGAGATATGGCTATGATTTTTTACATCTTATACATCCGTTTTGTTGAACATTTTTTCTATAATAGAAACAGTGATGAATTAGGAACAAATGATATAATTAAACATTACGTTATATAAATAAATATATATGGTTTAACGATTATTAATTCTCTGAAAGTAATTGGAGAGTCTCGAACCAGCGACATTTCGTAACAAGGTGAGCGCCCGGTACCGTTATCCGAGCCTGTTCTCGTTGGATAAAACACATGATTTAAAATAATATTTTATATAGCGAATTGAAATTGTGAATGAATTTGAATGTAGAAATTTACAAATTAGGGTAAAGAAAATGCAGTATAAACTTGTAACTAAACACGCCAGTGTTTGGTCAAAATAAATTGTCATTCCAATGACGTTGTTTATCGTTACTACCAGGGAACAGTGAAATTCACTGCATTCCCTGTTAACTTACCATTATTATAAACATTCATGTACGAAAAATCGTTAATCAACTTAACCAAAATATTTATTCCAAAATTCGACTTTCATAATATATGCCACTAAAAACCCATATATTAAAAGCAATCTAAGAAAGAAAGTGCCTGCCTTTTGCTAGTTTGTTTTCATCTACCTGATAAAGACCTAAGGATAGGTCAAAATATTGTTTTTTTCTATAAAGTGTTTCGTTTCCTATTACGGTACTTTTTATTATTGTACAGGACCACACGTGGAACCTCAATGCTGTATGTATA